TCCCAGCTGCTTGCTGCATGTTTAGTCAGTGCACAGGTGGAGGCCCCAGTGCAGCCCTAGTGTTCACAGCGGTGGGACCAGTATGAACAGCCCCAGCCTGCCCAGCAGGAGAGAAAAACCAGGAGGAGGCAGCTGGGGCAGGGCAGAGCCTGGAGCCTCCAGGTTTGGGGTGGGGCTATCTCATGTCTCATCCTGCACCCCCTGCAGCCTCGTGACTTTGGGCTGAACTTGCCCCCAGCAGGTGCCCATCTCTGGAGCAGGTGTCCACTGGGAACAGGGCCCAGCCAAGCCAAGGCTACTCCCCAGGGTCAAGGAAGTGGGGTCAGGGACAGGGACACAGCCCACTGGAGGACCGCAGTTTCGGATCCCAGGATCCTAGCAACCCCGGGTTGGGGTGCACAGGAGCCATCTCTGCCAGGCTGGGCATGCTACGGAGTGCCTGGGCATCAGAGAGGGCGAGGAGCTCACCACAGTCACACAACCAGCCCTGGGCGAGCCTGGAGCAGGATGGGAGCACATCCCTGTCTGCCCCAGGGCTGTGTCTTCCACTCAGGAATGAACAGCCCTTGGCTGGACTTGGCCAGGCTGAGTTTGGGACCCTGAGTTTGGAGGGCTGCTGCCTGCAGCCCCTGCACCTGTTCTCCATGCTTTGCTGTGTGTTAGCTGCGTGGGGGTCCGTGCAGCATCTTGCCTTAGGGGGCTCAAGGGGAGAGGGGGCAGCGGAAGGGGGGCCAATGCTGGGGAAGGGGCTTTATGTCTCCTGGGGCTCTGCCATCTGTCTTTTCATCTCCCTGGGAGGGGTGAGAATGTGGATCTGAGTGAGCAGTGGACATTGCCAGCTCGGTGAGCGAGAGGATGGGTCTGAGGGTCCAGTGCTGTGGGAAAGCCTCTCCCTGCCAGGTGCAAAGGTGACAGGATTTGGCCCATCCCAACCTCAGCCGAGAATCTGCAGGTCCTGGGTCCTGTATCACTGTAAGAAAAGTCCAAGAGCTCATTAGAAATGCAGATTCCAGGCCCCGTATCCCACCCCTACCCCAGTCAGAGCCTCCAGAGCAAGGGTCTGGGAACCTGAATTTTTACCGAGTGCATTTGGTGAGTCTTATGAACAAGCCACACCAACCTGGTCCCCTTGATGCCTGCTGGCTCCGCACCTGCCCTGTGTACACCTTGCTCAGGTCCCCTCCCTCTGCTCCCTTCCCCTCAGCGGACCAGCTCCTTCCGGGAAGCCCCTGGGCCTCTCAGCAGTGGGTCTCTCTCCTCCATACTCTAGCAGCTGCCATCACACTCGGGACCCTGTTGGCTGCAGTGGGTCCTTGTGGAATCTCCCCTCTCCCTGCAGCCTTGGGTGGAGGGTGAGAGGTGTGTGCAGTTTCCCAGATGTCATGGAATGAAGTGACGTAGTCTCTGTGTGTGCATCTCCTCATTCTGGGAGAAAGTGTTGACCACAAACAAGCAGAAAGAAAGTTAAATTCTACCACCCCCGGCAGCCCCTGGTGAGATGCCAGGCACTTCCTTCCAGTCTTTTTATTCCGTATGTAGCTCAGTTTATCCCCTTCCCACCTCCCACCACATACACTAAGGCAGCGGCCACTGGGCTGATAAACAGCCGTTTCTGCAGAGCAGTGCCTGGGGCCCCCTCCTGTATCATCAGTGGCTCTGTCCACCTTTCTGCCCGAGGTCCTGGGGTCAATGCAGTGCCAACGCGCCATCCATGACCAGCGTGAGCAACCTCACTGCTGTCCACAAACGCTCGTGTGCTGAGCCCTGGGCACAACGTTCTCCAAATTCTGCTGGCTCTGACATGCGTGCCGTCCTGTGGCATCACCAAAAACGTCCTGACTTCCTTCCTCCTGAGCATGGGATGGAGGTGAAGCCCTGAGCAGCCTCCTGTGGGTCACACACCGCACCTGCTGCACCCACCGCACCCCCTGCGCCCACCACACCTGCTGCCCCCGCCGTGCCCACCACACCTGCCGCTCCTGCCG